CACCCCCGGCCCTGCTGGGGACAGGATGTGGCTTCACCCAGAGTGACAACAACCCCCCCTCCCCTCCTCCCCCCGCACCGGGGACCCCCAAACCCGGGGGATCCGCCCGGTTCTGCCGGTGCCGGGACCCCCGGTGCCCCCCGGTGCCCCCGGGCCGGACTCACCCAGAAGATGAAGTTGAAGAAGAAAACCAAGAACTTCACGCATTTCATCCCGCCCTCGATCGCCATGGCCCGCCCGTGCTGCGGGAGCCGCCGCTCAGCACCGGCACCGCCACCGGCACCGGGCCCGCCGCCGCGGCCGGTACCGCTCCCCGCGACCCAGGAACCGCCGGCCCGGGCCCCGCCCCGCTACCGGTACCGGCACCGCTCCACCCGGCCCGGCGCTCCCGGTGCCTCTCCCGGTGCTCCCGGTACCGCTCCACCCCGTTCCGGTACTCCTGGTACCGCTCCCAGTGCTCCCGGTACCGCTCCGCTCCCGCTCCCGGTACCGCTCCCCTCCCCGGCCCGGTGCTCCCGGACGTCCCGGTACCGCTCCCTCACTCCCCCCGATCCCGGTACCGCTCCCGGTGCCGCTCCCTCCCAGGTCCCGGTCCCGGTTCCGGTGCTGCTTCATCCCCCCGGTCCCGGTTGTCCCGGAGTTCCCCCTGCCCCGCTCCCCCTCCGGTTCCCGGTGGTCTCGGTACCACTTTCCCCCACTCCCAGTGGTCCCGGTGCCGTTCCCCCCCCGACTCCCGGGGGTCCCGGTCCCGTTCCCCCCCACTCCCGGTGGTCCCGGTGTCGCTCCCCCCCCCACTCCCGGGGGTCCCGGTGCCGCTCCCCCCGCTCCCGGTGCCGCTCACCGCCGCCCTTCCCGAGGGCTCCGGATCATGTGACGGGGACGAGCCGGGAGAGCCCCGGGACCGCCCCGGGCCCGCCCCGGCACCGGCACCGCCCCCGGCCCGCCAACACCGAGCGTGCGAGAGACCCTTTATTGGGGGACACTTGGGGACACTTGGGGACACCGAGGGGACCCGGCACTCTGAGCTGAACCGCGTCCCGCACCTGGGTCCCTGTGACCCCTGAACCCTGACCCGGGGGTCCCTGTCCCCCCCCGACCCCTCACCCGGGGGTCTCTGTCCCCCCCTCACCCCACACTTGGGTTCCTGCTGTCCCCCTATCCTTGGTCCCTGTCACCCTGGTCCTGCACCCCAAGGTCCTCAGGACCCCCAGCCCCTCCCCCTGGGGGTCCCAAACACCCTGGACCCTCCCCCTTGGGGTCCCAGCCCCTCCTGACCCCACACCCGGGGGTCCCTGTCACCCCCCGACCCCATATCCGGGGGTCCCTATCACCCCTGACCCCCCAAATCCCCCACCCCAATGTCCCGATGGGGGAATGGGGACCCCGGGGGGGGCAGTTGGGTGATGGGCACCCCAGGATGAAGGGTCAGGGGTGACAAGGACCCCAGGGTGAGGGGTGTGGGGGAATTGGGACCCCAGGTGAGGGGTGGGGGGGGCTAGGGACCCCAGGATGGGCGGGAATGGGGGAGTTGGAACCCCGGGGTGAAGGGCCAAGGGTGACAGTGATCCTGAGGTGTGGGGGACAGGGTGACAGGGACACCCAGTGCAGGGTTAGGGAGTGACAAGGACCCCCAGTGCAAGGCCAGGGGTGTCAGGAGTCCTGGGGTGCAGGGTCAGGGGTCTCAGGATTCCCAGGGTGCAGGGTCAGGGGTGTCAGGGGTCTCAGGGGTCTCAGGGGGTGCAGGGTCAGGGGTCCCGGGGTGCAGGACAAGGGCTGTCGGGGGTCCCGGGGGTCTCGGGGCTCTGGCTGTACCTGCCGGTCTGGGGGTCCCTCTGGAAGAAGGGCTCGTTGATGACCCCCATCACGGGGACCCCGCTGCGGCGCTCGAAGGCCCCCACGAGCACCAGGGCCGAGCGCAGCCCCCCGGGCACCACGCCATCGACGGCGGCCACGTCCTCGCGCCCCCCGATGAACTCGTTGGTGGAGTCTGGGGGAGCCAGGGGGTACCAGGGGGTCTGGGGGTGCCAGGGGGTCTGGGGGTGCCAGCCCTGCCCTGGCCCTGTTCCTGTTCCTGTCCCCTCCATCCCCATCCCATCCCTGTCCCCATCCCCGTCCCTGTTCCTGTCCCCATGGGGGATGTGGGAATTTGGGGACAGGAGGATGTGGAGACAGGGTGACATGTGGGACATTGGCAATTGGGGTTTTGGGGACACTGGGATGCGAGGACATGGGGACAGGGTGACATGGGGACACGAGGGCAAAACTGTGAAGTTGGGGTGACAGGATGACACAGGGGTGTGGGGACACGGGGACACGGGGACACGGCAGTGTGCATGTGGGCACAAGGGGACACGGGGACACGGGGGTGTGGGGACACGGGGGACGTGACGATGCGGAAGTGGGCACAGGGGGACACAGGGACACGGGGCTGTCCCCAGCGTGTCCCCGGGGGGGGTGGCCCGGTCGGGACCGGCCCGGGGGGGTCCCCGCTGTCCCCGGAAGGCGCGGGGCGACGCGGCCCGGCCCG